CCTGTGATGGCAGGTTTTCAGTGGTTCTCCAACTGATGTCAGTCTGTGATGAATACCAACTTGATATCGGTAAATCCTCACAAACTCTGCGACCAACTTTCTTTTCTTTCCAAAGTCGCTAAAAGGTAAGAACTTGTTCGATTGGCTTCGGTCAGCACCGAGGGTTCCAGACTTAACAGCTACATTATTTGCCGTTAAGCAATGAAATAAAACTTGGATAAGTGCTTCAAAACAAGAAATGAAGAAAATTTCATCGATAGTAAGTGCACTTAAGATACTACCGCTAAGAATTCGACTCGCAGCATGTTATCCATAAAGAAGTTTTGAAAAGTGTTAGTACTCATTACTGAGTACTTTGCATTGTGGTTCAACACATGTATCAACATTCATTGTTGAAGTCAGTGTTTTAAACAGCTCAAATTAAACTTGTGTATGAAGTACAGCAGTTATCTCTCAACAGGTATATGTTATAATGCTGCATGATATATTATTTGCCATGAATACTATCGTGTTTTCATAGTTGCACTACTACTAATGATATTTCTTGTGCTGCTGCCGCAGTTACTATATCTCCTGCTAATAATCACAAAATATCCGTCAAAACTGGTTTGTAAATTCGATAGTACATAGCATTGGAATCCGCTTTATGGGTTTCTGATTATTTGGGACTCATCAGCTAGGTGCAGTTGCATTCCACAGAGTATTGGTGCTCGCACTTAAACTAGAATCTAGTAGTCATGTGCAGCTACTGCAAGTCAGCCTAGATCTAACCGGGCATAATATCGCGACATCCACACAAACAGCTAATATGCTAGTGGAAACCTGTTAATTTAGCTCTGCCTATTAACAATGAAAAAATTTCACAATCTAATGATAATCTATCAAGAAGTACTATTATTATGATTATAGTAAATCTTGTTTTAACTGCTATCTAGTTACGCTGGAATTCTTTATAGACATACATATATACATTAGTTACATAGATTGTTAAAGTGCACTATATTTTTTATGCCGTATGTAGCGAAATCAACAGTTGAACTACCTTCACAGGATATTAAACATTTGTACAGTACTTTTTAAAAATATGTGTCATAATATTAAGCGCTGAATATTAAAAGTGTATTCAATAAACATTTATCTGTTTTTGTTGTCAGTTTGGAAATGGCAGTACCGTAACACACGATAAGCTTCTCTAGTACATAGTAATTTCAATCTCTAACTTGTATGGAGAAGTACTTCAAAAAGCATCGAAAGCTTATACCTATCTGTGGTATTCTGGGAACAGTTGGAATTTAAAACCTCACTTCAATAAGTCCTAAAATGCTGAGTTTAGATTAACTTGATTCCCTTGAGTGTAATGCTAGCATCGTGTACAAAAGTAGTAGCAGAAGCAACTAGACGCTATCAATATGAAGTATATCATCTTTATGTGATATGCGGTCCGGGCTTCGGTGCTGGCTAAATTCAAAACCAGGTGAATCTACAACTTGTTAATTACCAGGATATTGACTCATAATTACCGCTTTCATCAAACAAGTAGACAGACGGACAGACAAAAGCAACGTAGAACCTCTCACACAGGTGCATAGGCTCAAGTTGCCGCATTTCACAGTAGTACACAAAGAACACGTGGATAGAAAAAGAGTGATATCAAAGTCCACAAGGTTGTGGGAGAGAATAAACAAAGTGAAGATAAAGGCTAGTGCAAATATTCAAGCTTTATATGTCAAGGAGTGAATCCATCTTCATCATTGTGACTGATTTTCAGCCATGTCACCAAAAGTCCTCATCCATTGATTCCTTTTGTCTCAAGGACCCCAACCAGGCAGTCTAAATCTCCCCGACATGGCTCAGACCACCAGTTATGGACTTCACTGACTAGTGTCATATCTCTGTTTGGCCACCCTGAACCCTCTTCCAATCTAATTCAGTTCCTCTTGGTATGAGATATCGAGGTAGGCATTAGCTGGTATGCACAAAATTAAAATCGGTAAATTAAGCCATATACTTGAATAATAATGCTGATTACGAATTATGCTTGATAAAGAAAATGACTTAGGTCTACAGACTGCAGACGTGTACATCTTCCTTTCCTACAGACACCTAGCTACTACTAATTAATTTACTTAATAATGATGCACCTGTAAGTTGTTCAGTTATTTCAACCTTATATTTGGTGTAAACAAAATTCGAGGTAAAAAACTGAATCGGGGTACACAAAAGTTTGATAATTAAATTGTTTTTTGATCCATTAACTCATTTATTTCTTGTTTAAGTGGAAGACTGTTTGTTTTCTTTCTACCAGGCAGTACCACCAAATGTTTTCGTTTGTTATCTCCTGCTTTCTAGAACTCAGTAACAATCAAGAGAAAATGAATAATTATTGCTCAACTGTCTTCATTTATCTTGGTTTTCTCTTGAATGCCTGCATGCTTGCATAAATGCAAGCGTGTTTATGCGCATCTTCGATTATGCCACTAAATACATTGATATTTCATGCTTTGGAAAAGGCAACTCGCCTTTTCTTCTTGTTGAGTTATAACAAGAATGATATTTATTTGGTACATATAATAAATCTTCACGAAAAACGTTCATACTTTAAGCATATAAACTTCATTGATCATTGTTAACTTCCTGTAGACTTGAAATAATGTGCGCATAACTTGACTACTTACTGCAGAGATCACATCATACGGAAGGTCAAGCCTATGAAGTCTGAAATTAAGTATATTGTCTAGTCAGTGAGTGTGGAATGGTGCCGTCACGTGTAAAGGGAAGAATTTCGTATTATTTACTGATACTTGCAGTATCCCGTTATTATTATGGATGGAACTGATCGACCTCTTTTGGCATTGAGCTCTCATGGGGATGCCTCGATATTGTTTGATTACTGATTACGCTGTAGTTTACTTAGTGATTTGGAGCATTTGAGGCGATGAGTCCTGGGCTTGAGTTTCAGTCTGAACAACACCACTCACTGCAGTGCAGCTACATCTAGCTGAGGAGTCCTAAATGGGAAGAACCGCGCGTCCTGAATTCCACTGCTGACCACGATCAAGTAAATTAAATGGATGTGGTGTTCAAGAATAAAAAAGATAATTTATAAAGGCAGTAAGACTAATAGTGCCCGTGAATAAGTATCGATCTTCTTGGTAATTAATGGAGATTGGGCATGCAAGCTAGCCAGCGGAACGAAACTCAGTGGTCAGGGATTTAGATTAGGTGAACACAGTCGTGAATTTACGTTTGTGTCGTGTGGATAGTAATGAACTGTACATTTCTGAGCAGTAATCGAAGGTGAATGAAGTGGCTTCTCATGACTTTGTGAATTAAAGCCGTTCCCCAACATTTACTTACGTTTACTAAAAAATATTTCCCAGTAGTCACTGGGAGTGTTACATTACTACAGATTTTTAACCAGCGTTGTTATATTTGAACATGCTAAGCTGTCAGAGGTCAGTAAACACCCCCAACTGATGTATGGATGTATTCAACTATTTGGGAAACTATTTATCAAATGAATCAGTAGAACTAATTAAAAGGAAAATACTTATTCCCCGGAAGAAAGTAATTATATTAACATTTGTCTTCCTACTGTATCCTAAGTGATTATGTTTCTCTTCCAACGACCTGCAGCTAAATTACTGACAGCTCTTTAAAAAAATGAAATGCCTTTTATCTTAGAGTTAGTTGATCAAAGTGATTTAGCTTATTTATAATAATATGAAAATGCAAAATGGAGGACTTTTAAAATATTAATTTAAATATATCATGACCATTGTCATGACATTTCTAGGTATTAGATTTTTCCATGTTGCCTAGTTTCGTCAACTATAACAATATGTAGTAGGTTTGGTGCAGCATGGATGAAGTGGTCAGGCTAAAAGTTCAGTCATTTATTAAATATGGATAATGCCGCGCAATAAGTGATGTCCTCAGAAGGATTAGAACCGAGAACCAATGGCTTTAGAAGCCGGAGTGTTATCCAATAGGGCACCGAACTATGATAAACACTCCTTGTGCGACCTTAATAGCATAGTTTGGATATAACAACTCGTACTTTCCAATCGCTGATTGGACTGAAATGATTGACTACTATTGGTATATAGGTTCCTGTGCAGATGTCTTGATCTTGTTGATATTTTTAGATTGATATTAGGGATGGATACCGACGCAGGAGCCCATATGCTAATGGTGATTCAACAGTTCGATCCAATCACCGACAGAAAATTATAAGCTATAATATCTAAAGGTGCACTTAATTCACATGTGGGAAGCATGCTTATACTTGAAAGGATTTTCACGTCAAAAATTATTTTATTAGATATTTCAGTGTGAATTAATAAATCAAAGTTTATGCTTAAAATATCTCTTTTATTGACTAGTCACATGCGAAGTAAAAATAAACGGAAGTGTGGAGTAGATGAACGAAATCCATTGGTGGATGTCAATACCAGTAACTGATAAGTAACTAGCAAAAACCATTATCAATACACCTGCTGACTAAGCCGACCTTGCTGACGAAATACTGTTCAAGTAATACATAGGTGATAGAGTAATTCTTTTTAACGGAATCGAAGTTTGCATGGTTAAAATTGGTAATTTCTGACTGTGTACCGGATACATACAAATAAATCAACATAGAACGTTTCCCAGAAGCCTACTACTTCACGTTGCCACAGGTAGTATATCGAGTGGTCATCTTTCAACTGTTTTAGACTATATGAAATAAAAAAAACCGTTGCCTTTTTTTATACAAAAATAAGTGATTTTAGGCGCAAGTTTAATTTTAGGTCTTAAATCTGGTTTTCTTCACATACATTTTCCGTCTGATTGACCGAAACACTTTTGGACTGAAAGTATGTAAAGCAAAAGCTTGCCAAGCAACCTACTAAATAATGAACTGTTTTACCAGATGACAAGCTTAAAGTTTAAATTGTGGAATCAAACATCAGTACACTGGGTGAATAAAATCACTGCAATCAACTTGGTATACTTACTTAAATGCAGGTCCACGGGGATCAACTTGATCAATCAAAGGAAAGCTGGTTAATTCAGTAGAGAATGGATTGGGTATCGGAGTCGTCAATGTAAAACCATAGCCAACATATTCATAAGGCTCAAGAAGAACTTCAACTTCTTCGCATCGGAAAGCTGCTGTTGGTGTACCACTGGCCGGTGTGATTGACGGTCTCAGTGAACGGGAAGATTTCAAGCAGTCTATCAAAAGATTAAGAAACCGACCAAGTGCATATTATATTCAACCTCATTTGTAGTAACTACGAATTCATTGATAACACTCAATAGTAGATTGCAGAAAAGTATTTATTCTTTCATTCGCTTGGTCGAGAATTTCTTAACATTTAGCTCTATCAACATGACTTAGGCGATAACGTTCCTTCCAGTGTTTGTCGAATTTGGACCTTTCTGTTGAAGTTGATGTATCTTATGTCAATTTTTCAAATTCGCAATGTTGTGTTAAGTATTAAATACTATGGAAGATGTTCTTTTGCCGAGCACAGTTGTGAAATAGCATACTCAACCAATGTTCTCCGATCAATGAAGGTGAACACTTTGTTGACTGATCGGTGTGCAGCGATACATTTTATACAGTACTGGATATTTCACTGTACCGCAATTTCTTGCCAGGAAACGGCAAAAGTCTGTAATTTATCATTAGATAGTGGCTCGTGCCCTTTGACTGACCAATTTATTAACAATGTGATGAGACTTTTGAAAAATGATGGGAAGAATACCACATAATTGGCAGCACAAAGCTGTAACTTTATTGAAAAAGGCTGTCACTCTTATGCCGCCGAAACCATTGTTGGGCTTTAGTTATTGGCGATGTTTGTAAAAAGCTTTCGTCGAATTACATATTTCAGCGCACGTAGTGTTGTAGTAGGTATCAGATCAGATGTTTTCAAAATAATTTGGCTCTCTGAGCTGAATCTATTCGTCTACGCCGCTGAACACCTTGAACTTGAACAAGAGAAATGGCCTTCTGGTGCTTAGATCAGCCTGGTCTGGGTACCGAGCATGAAGGAATGTTGCGAGTGGTCTACAACTACTCATACCAGTTAGTAATATCTTTAGTACAGCTTTAGTGAGTAAAGTCAGCCAACAGTTCAGATACCTGTTTTCTGCCACCACCTCTCTAGAAAACTCAAAAACAACTTCCTATAAACACAACATGGGTAGATAAGTGGAAATCTGACAATTTTCTTAAACTTTTAACCAGATTCCACTGAAAATAAGACAATATAATAATTAGTGCGTCTTGCTGAGGATGGATACTCATCAACTGCAATGGATGAATATCACGCCACATCTTAAATTAAAAAAGCAAAAATATAGAGCATTGAATTATGATTCAGCTGTTCAACGGTAATAGACTAAAAGGAGAACTTGAAGTTCCCGGGTTCAATTCCTGGTGCGGTGGAGTCATGGGTGCGCACTACTGAGGAGTCCTATACTAAGACAAAGCACCTATCCTGTGCTTCTACATTTTCAATGGTTCGAATAGTCGAATAATCCCATTTCGTTCTTTTCCACACAAATGTCGAGCGCTTATCACCCACGTAGATAATAAATAGGCGATTACAGAAATCTTGAAAGTTTGGGTTCACCCTTTTCTGTTTGTTTTAAGAGCTTAGATACTTTCAAATCTTATTTTTTTTCAACATTTCAGAAGGACCCGACTGTTGACATCAGATATATAGTTATAAGAGTAAGATATTAGGATTTCGGTCGAATCAAATTCCATTTGAATTGATTTCTTTGTTATATCACTAAGTGCAACAGAATAATTTATTGGATTATTTTTCGGATACAATTCATTGTTCATACCATCATATCAAGGTTACTCCAAAATATTCAGACATGATCTATTCAGTTCTAATTTTCTCTCCCTCACCTTTAAGATTAAATAGTAGGATTTTCAGTGTATCTGAAACAAATGCCAGAACATTCCAGTTGCAGGTATTTGGTGCTGGTTTGAGAAATTTGGCTACCAATTTCTCCCTCCACCTAGCCAAGCTATTTTTAAGGACTGTCTCCGTGTCCCATCCTATTGTGAAGTTGTGTATAATCGCATGTGTAACTGTGACCGACCTTTTCTAGACCCCTAATCCTACTATCACCTACCAACCTTAACTTGGACTGACTTTATAGGCCACTCTAGCAACTGCTGAAATAAACAATCAGGTTTCAGAATTTTGAACAGGAAATCAGTTTTTCATAAAGTAGAGAACTATGATTGGTTATCTCACTAGTCGTTAAGTTGACCTTAAAGTCCTTTTTTAACTTAGCTACGTTTTTGGACTTGACGCTAAGTGGTCGACCACCTAAACATAAAGACTTGAAAGGTCACTCTAGCAACTACTAAGATAACAAAATGTGTTTCTTTGTTCTGTGGGAAACTACTGTCTTAGATGTAATACCAGAACTCAACCGGTCATTTCAGCAGTTGCTACGGTAGCTTTTGAAGCTAGCCCTTTAATTGTCACCCTAACAACGACTGAAATAACCAGTTAGATTTCTCTATTTTTTGAAAAAACTACCTTTCTAGTTGAAGTAAATAAACCTAATTAATTATTTAAGCAATTGTTAGAGTGGCCTTTAGAGTTAAAACCCACTTGTTTGAAGTGATTCTAAAGTCCACCCTAGCAACCAACGAAGTAAGCAATCAGCTTCCTTTATTTTATAAAAAACCACCTACCAGCCAGAATACAGAAGCTTAATTCATTATTTCATTCTTTTCCAGGTTGCTCACCAAACTCACTGTATATCCGACCTAACAGTCATAACTAGGGATTCGGTAAACTAAGTTATTCTGCCCAATTCGATCATTAGGACCTTGTAACCCATAAAGTTTGCTTCCAAGTTAGTTCATGATTTTAGATGCCCTCAATGGGTAGTGATGATACCATTAGTTCTTGCATGGTGGTCTTAGTAAACTAAAAATTTGTGATTGTTTTATGCTGACCACATTCATCAATAATTTAATTACGTTTACTAAGTACATTATGACGTTAAATATGTAGAATTAAAACTTCAGAAAGTTAAGGAATCGAAGTTGGAGTAATGACTGTTTTGGTCTAGACACCTGATTTCCAACCTGCATGTCATAGGTTAGAACCCAGTCCCATCTACTGAGGTTCGGACAGCCAGGTAGTATCACTACCTATCACACAGTTTATATGGCTCATCGCCGACTGCGTGAATGTGAGCAAGGTTGTTAAGTGGACTTCGACACTAATGTGATCTCAATTTTTGTGCAAATTTGTTATTCATACTCTCCTTTTCATCACATAGACTTAGGTAGTCTAATCTATGCTATCGGAATGATCCAAATGACTACGTAAACCTCTGTGGTGCAAGATATTTATATCCTTAGGTGAGCAGTTAAAAATGGATTCCAAAAACAGTATTTATAGTAATCATTCTGGGTTTAATAATCATTACAGTGATTGATTACTATTATTATTATTATCACTATTATTATGATTTTTTATTCTCTGGTTAAGCGTGGTTCACATTTTATTATAACTAAAACAAGTGAATAGTTAACACATTGACGTATTGATCGGTTACCTGAATTACTTTGCATTGATTTTTCCGAATTCATAATGGCATTTGGAACAATCTGAAAGCGAATAACATTTAAGCCATTATTTTTCAGTCTGTGCATAGCTTCTTGAAGTTTCATATTTTCGACACAAATATTATCTATGGATTCAACTCGATCCCCTTCAAATAACGCACCACACCTATGAAAGTAAAATCAGAAGAAGCCATAGAAACGTGTATGTTCCATGCAGAGTAGATAGTAAGGTTCACATTTTATGTCAGATTACTGTGAATCGGTGTTCTATAAGAGATTTGAGAACAAGTATTGAGTAACACCTTTTGGACAAGAGCTAATGATGCTATCTGGGTGTTTAAAACTCAGTAGCCACGGAGGTGTTTGAAGCTGCAACTCATCCTTAACCAATGGGCCACAATTCCACCTTAACAGATTGGCGTAGTATATCTCTTTAGTTAATGAATTCGGGCACATTGACATGATTCAACTTCCAAGTGTTGCATTCTCGTCCATTTTTGTAAAAACGTTCCAAATAATCCGGTACTACTTCCGATTCTTCGTATGATACAAAAGATTGGATGGAAAATGTTTCAGTAGGTTAGTAAACCTTTGTAATTCACGTACCGATTAAGGCAAATGACCTACTGTCGTTACCTTTAGGATCTCTCAGTTAATCAACTCTTTTCTCATGTTGTGTTATCGAAAATAGATCTCATTAAATTCAGGTTTCCAGCAAAAAACGTCAATGGTTTGCTTGTTACACACTTTGTTAGTCATTGAAATCCGTTGATCTTTGTTGGCGAGTCAAATAATTATTCATACTGGATGATGACTGAAGGTGAGATGAAAATCTAGGCTATGGCGGAATTGAAACCAGGGACCTGCATGTCGTGACCAAGATAGTCAAACTGATAAGGCACTCGTTTACCATAGTTAACCTTATATATACTTCAGTGGTCTGAAGCAGATTACCCTGATGACATCGTTTGGTTTATTGGATTCTTAACTAGAAATTATATTGTGATCTCCATTGTCCACTTTTATCGACTCAGTATCATTATCAAGGTAACCGTAGGCAACTAGATCTTCAGCAAAGCTTACTTTGAACTTGCAGTGGTTGGGTAAAAAACTTTAAGTTGTGCAAGTTAATATGAAAATTCACCGTGTTAAGCATGACAAATATAATCGTAATTCACGTGTGGAAATCCTGCTGTTAGAAAACGTAAGAGTAGATTAGTTGAAGTTGAGACAAAGAGTTAGGGATAAGTCATTTGAAACAACAGTATTATGCACCAAACTGACGTATTATTGTTACATTGAAGTAACCCACTGTTTCTCAATCGAGTAATGCTGCTTAACACTGTTTAGTATTACTGTCTGACTACGTATTATTCTCACGCATAAAGTAACATAATGAAGAGACTTCTCTGATTCAAAGTAACCCGTACTCAACTTGCCTAACCTAACTGAGCACTCAAAACGAATTATTAGATAACATCGTAGTTAGATGAATAAGTAGGACTCGTTAGATATCCAACTCAGGATTATATATATATATATATATATATATATATATATATATATATATATATATATATACATTAACTGATGGATACTTTTTCACTTGATAAAGAATGTCCTTCGAAAGTTGAATTTTAGCACACACTTGTACATTTGCAACCACGATCATACATACATACACACACACACACCCATCCTTCTAAGACTGTAGAAGCAGCAAAGTAGCAGGATACTTACTCTTTTATGCCTTTAATGGGTGTGCCGAAAACAGAAGTCAACTGCGTTTACTGATTATTGATTACAAATCGCATGGAAACTGTCGTAATATGACTCTAAATTTTATAAAGAAACACTAGCCTCTTTTTTACCCAATCTAATCCTATATCATCTATGTTCGCGAACAAACAAGTTAAATTGTACAGTTGCCTGGATCGATACTACACAAATATATCTGACACTTGTATGTGTGTGCGTATATGTCTGTGTACTATAGACAAATACCTTCAAAAAGAATGAAAATAAACTAGAAATTCTGTTACAAAAAACGGGCTAGAAAAAACGACATATACGCAGATGAAAGAATATATCATCTTGATTTCATCCCATCTGAAAATCGAAAAATCTTTTGAATTTGACTTTGCAAGACTTGTTTATCGTAAGTCAAAAGCCAAACACAAAATCAGCAGACTTGCTGATGTGAAGCTGATTGGTAATCCACAGTGGAAGTCTCTAGTATACGTCAGTTTTAAGTTCGTTCGATACAATCGGAATGAAAAGTAAAAGAGAAAGGAAGAAATTGCTGTAGATATGATAGCGTGAAGGATAAGTTGCCATGACTGATCAGCTCAATGTGCGTTTATCACTTCACCTACTGCTGCAGAGCTAATTTTAAAGGTCGCTTGTCAAGGCCCTTCCATAGTAGAATTTCAAAACATCTCCAAGTGTGACCTATTGAATGCCGACAAAGATAAGTGAATCTATCCATTTTGTAGTAGGTGGTCGAATACCTTGTTTTCAGTTCACCTCCAGTCATCACTCCATGCCATTTATGCTAGTCCACCAGACCATGCCTGTCTTAGATAGTCTCATTGGAAAAGCATTTCCAACAAACTAAAGACATTCATCAACAGCCGCCAGCTACGCTCACTCATTGTTGAAGATCAGATAGATGGCTAGAAAAAATAAGCAACAAGGAACTCTGGCACGGCAACGAACCAACCGAGAAGCCATCGCCCAACAAATATGCAGAAGAAGGTGGAGATGGATTGGATTGGGCATAGTCTGAGAAGACCATTCGGGGGCATCACGTGTCAGGTCAGGCCGTCGAGTGGAACCCGCATGGGAAACGATGAGTTGGGTGTCCGAGACGAGGGTGACATGGAGGAGATCGTGTGAGGAAGAAGTGAAAGCATGTGGGGATTCGTGGGGCCTGGTTGAAAAGACTGCAGAGAAGAGAGTGAAATGGAGACTTGCTACTGAAACCTTATGTTCCACTAGGAACCTAAAGGAACAAATAATAATAATAATAATAATAATAATAATAATAATAATAATAATAAATATATACGTTGTAATAAAATAAGATATCACTTGTGAACAACACATGTAACTGAGATGAAGCAATTATGAAGTACTCAGCAGTTAATAAGCAACCAATAAGTGATAGAACCGATTACCAGACAACGCTTAATGTTGGATTTCTATCTGTAGTAGTGGTAAAAAAGCTTAGCAATTTTGCTATGAACATCTACAAGCACATCTTAAACTTACGGATGGATGAAAAAATGTCAGATAGCACTATACCTATACTTTCAGGTTGAATGGCTCAAATTAGCGCATAACTAAGATTCTTTTTCACTCTATATTATAAGACATATGCTAAGATCAGTCCACCGAAAAATAAAAATCTTAATATGATTAGCACTTTAAAAAGAGGTGCAAGTATGGAGGAAAAAGCCATTATACGTGAATAAGTACTCATTAGTACAATTCTTTCATTGTATCGACATGCATGTGTAGAGACCAGTGCATTAGAAGACAGATAATCATTTATTTTTCACCCTTTTGAAGTTTCTAAGCCAATGGAGAACGAAAAGCATGAACAGCTAGACTGATCAGCAATCAATGGACACGGACCGTGATATAGACACCCCCAGTGCACTAAAAAAAACTACGCGTTTGTACGTCAGACAGGTTGGCAAAGGTCACATATATTAGAAAGAAGAAAAGTTTACTCTTGTCATAATGAAGGTTCAGTTATCAATCTTGTAGTCTGTCTATTGAAATTACTTACCTAACGTGACTTCCTCTCCGTTTTGAGTGACTATAAGGGTCACTCTCGCAACTACTGTTGTGGATATGTACATTTTACTCCTACAAACGCATGACCTATATTTATAGCTTTCTGTGCGTTGATAATGGGGTGCAATTCTTTTAATAGATTACGACTCACATTCGATTTGTCTTATCACGTAAATAGTATTTTCTTCCACTTATTTTGATTCCTTTGTACTCTCTGGTTGCATACTGGAATGACTGTACCTGTTACAGAGAAGACGGTATCTACAAACTGATGTTCAGAATTGTCCCTATCCTGTGAAATGTGTGGGCAAGTTCAACCAACAGGAATTTCTACTCAACATAGATTTCCCATTTATCAGCATCTATAAACCAGTTTCACCTAGAGATCCTCGAGAAACCTTATTTCCATTGGAGGTTGAAAAACATTTCCCTGGGTGTCAAAGTCAACTACTTTATCACTAGGTTACTTAAGTTACTGTTGACACCTCATGGGACCATATTATCACTGAAGCTAGATAGATGGGGAAATGTTAACTAGCTTTCAGCAATTAGCCTGCATATTCATATTAGTTGAAGTATGTTTTGCAAAGGTCTAAATGATTGAACATGGTTGCATCATTTGAATTTCGTCTCTCAGGTATTGATGCTTTATATACATGATCAATATTTTTGACAGGTTGTTGATACTAACTTGAAACAAATTCTATTTATTTAGGTTTTTTATAGGACTGACACTCAGGCAAAGTAGTACACACTTTTTGTCAGTCAGTGATGTTCTTTTATGACAAAAATTTCTTTCCAATGATCAAACCTGTGATGCCCACAGTGCCACTGCTTTTAATTATTATAACATATTATGAATGAAGTGGCGCAATTCAAGTAAGTATCTTTTATCTTGACACTCTCCAGTGTTACAGCACGAGAATGACTGAAGACTGCAGAAAACCTAGTAGAAAAGTCATTCAGTTGATATTTTTTGTTTATTTACCACAATGTTGGTTAAATAGATATCAGCTATTGCACAAAAAATGCATCGGGTTTAACAAATCTAGTCTTAGTGAGTTTTTGAGATAAATTTTGCCAGCTGTACTAGCATTTTGCCGTCTCTTTTTCACTTTTCCATCTTTTAAACCTAACACACATAACTAAGAGCGTTGATACTGGCTTAAGTTAAATGATTTTAAGTTGGTATTCATCACCGACAGAAATCAGCTGAAGAGCCAGTGGGAACCTAGGAGCACTGAAAAAATTTTCTTCCTAGTGTAGGACTCCTCAAAAATGTATACCTGTGACGCCACAAGGGACAGAACCCAGGACATTTAAGGTCCATGGTGTGCACGTTGCCACTAAGTGATTGTATCGGAAGCCTATGGTGCTCACTGGTGACTTGTTTTGATTCAAGGTTCCCGAAGTTCTAGTGAAAAGTTGTGACCAGTGGGCCAAACCAAGTCAAATGTGGAAAAAAGTAATCAGCAACGGCAGTGGATGAAGGTTGCACTATATCGCTAACTCACAGAAGCAGGAAAATGCAGGCAAATGGATTCCACTCCAGTGGATCAACGGTAACGTGCTCTCCACGAGGCCTGAAAGCCCTTGGTTCGAGCTCTGGCGGTACGGAGTCATAGCTGTGCACTGCTGAGAACTGTCTGGCTGTCCAGTACTCTGAGGTTTTCAATAATTCTCTATCTGACGTCAGTCTGTGGTGAATACCATCTTGTAATCAATAAATCTCACAAACCTCCAAGTTGAAATAAATGATTTCACTTTTTTCAGTGACAAAATGTATAGAGTGGATTCAGTTTCCAAAAGATAATCTTTGACTGCTATTTTGTAATGGTTACGGAATCTGTTTCTTCATAACTCTGATACTGATTTCAATACTGATGAAATATTCAACTGGAAAATGATATTCTCTGAAGGAGAAGGATTTGTTATCATCGATTTTGTTTGTATGGGAAATACTAACTGCTGGACTGAGTACCAGTGATTCAGCAATTACATCCATATTCTGAAACTTTAACTTTTTCGATTGTATTTCTTAAAAACAACGGTAAGACCAAAGCCCGAAGAAAATAAGGTTTCAGATATATTCGTCAAGTAGCTTCAAGGCAATCACCTCTCATATAAAAAACTAGGATATAGGATTATAATACTTGTAGTTGTTTAACTGAAATCATTATTTTCGATACTGAAATTCTCTTCACTTTGATGTAAAATCTGACAAAGTAAATTCAATTACGACTCTAGTTCCTTTGTGAAACTCAGCAAAGGTCATTCGCAGACAATAGCCTATGTTTCTGTCACATTATTTGCACAATTCGAACTTGGTGCATTTTTTGTATACAAAATACTATTCAATATTACAAACTGTGGTGCAGAAGCTGAACTTTTCTGCAAGTTCATACACATGATAATTTCTGTTCATGTGTTACACAAAGTAAGAAGTAAATACCAAATGGGTTATAGATGATGACTTCTTGGTAAGCTACTAATCCATGTAACGATTAGCGAGAGGGGAATTAGTAAAATAGCTCTAGATGTTATCGTTATCACCAGAAGTCGCGAACAGATGACCAACATAAGTGTCACTGACACGTGTTATAAGTTTAATTGCAGTCAGTGAATGATTAATTACAAACTGCCAACAATTTTCTGTATAATTAATTATAGTCATCTATGAACTTGTGACCCAGTTAGATATTTGTAAAGGTGATCCAAATAATTTGTTGGTGTTTGTAATTTCTCGTTGATTTCTACATTGGACCTAACTCGTCGATCTCTGTTGGGATATGAGCTTCTAGAAATAGCCAGTGAGTTCCTTTTGATACCATTAAATTTCTGATGGCAGGCGACGGAATCCAGGCTGTATTTTTCGAATATACCTACATCCTAGTAAATGATAAATATTTCCGCCAGAGCTTGAACCCAGAGCGAATTACTTTTAAGTGTCAGAGAGTTATATGCTGGACTACTAATAGAAAAGAGAAATTGGCATTCAATATAGGCTGGTTCTGCAACAGGCGCGCAGACGATTTTACAGTTGACATACGATTCTTCGAATAACTAACGATATAAAAACTTAATACTATCTGAAACAGATTAAAAAAAATGAATTTTATTCATATTTCGAAAAAAATGGTTGCCTTGAAACTGCAGCAGAAGGAAGAAAGCGATTGTGAAGCACATATAAATGGATACATTACATGAATATGAACTCACAAACACCAGCTGAAAATGGCTGCAGAGAGTACTATTATCCGAAGGCCTACAATATAGATAGCAATACTACTGAAAAACAAATCAGAATTTTACATTCCATAATTATTGACAGAAAACATATCTGTGTCAGACTCAGAATAATAAGACACTGAATAAAAAGTCAAGAAAAGATACATCGCACATTTAAATGATGCAAACTTAAAGCACTGATAGCCGTTAGATAATAAAGAATACGTCACTCCTTGGGACTGGTTAGCTTCACTTCAAACTAACTTGTAGTCAAAGACTTCTAAGAAAAGAGAACCAAGTCACCGGATTAATTTTAAAGCTATGAATACCTGCTAAATTTAACTGACTCTAAAAGATTTACTGCTTTGTCTCATGTAGAAAAATAAACATTTGGATCGAAGTAAATCTCACTACTTGTCAACATTAACAAGAAATATCCGATTTTGTAATGATTATCATGTTCAGAGATGACCAGGGTCAACAGAAAGTCGAAGTCAAAGCAGGGTCACATTTAACACTCCGCAGACTTTGTCAGTTAGTATACCGGCTGAGTTACAAGACCTGCTGCTAGACAAGTTTCAGCATTGCCCAAACTCCTAAGTGTCCTGCTTTATAGACTAGAAATCAATTACCCTCTGTTCCGTATTCTGAAATCTTCATGACACCGTTGAATTAGTAAATAGGGTTCAAATGTTTCAGCAAAACTTTAGGCAATGAAAACCGGCGATTTGGAAAGCCTGGCAAATGTTACTGTTCATTCAAACGGAACATTTCACATATAGCCAAAAAGCTTTCCTACGGTGGGTAACCCATGTAAGTACCTACCACAAGTGATCGTACATGGAAAACTCTTTCTCTGTCATGAAGTGCACCAATTTTGAAAAACATGGTAAAATGAGAGTAATAGGTTTGAATACTGTTACCTGGACTCACAAAATCCTATGCTATATAACCCAAGGATGCAAAGGAAGGTAATGGAATTCTTTGTAAAGGCCATATTAAACCAAACAAATTCAAAATCTGTTGTAAAGTAACAAGTGGAGTAACGTTAGGATCGAAAAAAATTTAAAACATACTTTACTCTAAATATCAATTTACCTGTCTGCTATACTTCCTTGTCGAATATTATCAATAAAGAAGGCGTTTTGACCCGTTTTAACTTCATGACAAGGTGCCAAACTAATTCCCAAATCCTCATTGGTTGGTTTTTCAATTTCAACTACCACTGCACCAGATATACGGCGATCCTCCTCTGAAAAAATGTCAAAAAACTTTTGATAAGTGAACGCCGAAGGCTGGTCGGATAGAGTCGTACATGAAAGTGTTGAAAATATGTATTGTCACTATATATAAATAGTGTTAGTATAGTGTTCTGCTAGAACAAAGTGATCAATTCCTATTCTGGTCAGAAATACAATCGAATACTTCTTCAGAGGAGAGGAAGATGGTGAAGCAAAAAATAAGCAAGTGCAGTTAAGGATTGAACAACGAAAAGAAGAACTGAATACAACCTATAACACACTACACTGGACAAAGTGAAGAAGAGTGCGTGCAAAGACAAAAGACACTTCTACGACACACTGGCAAGTGAAGCAGAACAGGTTGCAGGCAGGAGAGACAGAGACCTGCCAACATCATATCAAATAACCAGGTTACTATCGATCTAGGAAGAGATCAACGCAGATGGAACCAATGAGAGATTGTGAAGGAAACTTAGATACCAAAGAGGAGAAACAAGGGAAACAATAGGCTGACCACTTCGAAAAACTCTTGAGTCGACAACCACCACCACCACCTGCAACTAGTCCATAAATACCACCAGCAGCCACGGAACTACAAGTAAACACACACCCTCCGACGAAAGTCGAAGTCCTGAACGCCATAAGGCTACTGAAATGAGGGAAAGCAGCAAGACCAAATGGAATTCCGCCAGAAGCACTGAAAACAGACACAGAGACAACAACGAACATGTTCACACCACTACTGCAGAAGGTTTGGAAGGAAGGGAAGGTACCTGCCTGTCGATTGGAAGAAGGGCTACCTTGTCAAACTTCAAAAGAAGGGCGACCCAAGTCTTTGCAAGAACTGGCGTGGAATCATGCTCCAACGCTGTCCACCTCTAGCAGAATATTAAGCCACCTCATCCTGGAGAGACTAAACAATGCGCTGGATTCAAAATTACGACCGGAACTGGCTGGCTGGCTGCAGAAAGAACAAATCATGTGGGGATCAAATTACAACGCTATGCATAATCATAGAACAGAGGACAGAATAGCAATCAACTCAACTAAAACTCAATTAATAGATTTTGAAAAGGCCTTCGAGTTGGATTTCGCCAATGATGATGATGATGATGATGATGATGATGATGATGATGATGATGATGATGATGATGATTTATACCTAATGTCACACAAACTTGAAGATCTACAGGCAGAAATCAAGAAGTTGGCAGAAGAGGTAGGGCAGCGAAGACGGGACTTCAAGTGAACGTATATAAGACAGAGGCGATGAAGAGACCCAACCAACCAACCAGCAGCAGCAGCAGCAGCAGCAGCAGCAACAACAACAACAACAACAAGCACCAATCACCATCAACGGAAGAAACCTGAAGGAAGTAGTCTCTTTCACCCACACCTACCTAGGCAGTATCGTTTCAACTACAGGCGGCACAGGCGTAGATGAGGATGTCAAAGCCAGGATCTGAAAGACAGCGAGACAGGTGTTCATTAACCTGAAACCAGTGTGGAGATCTACTGCACTCAGCATAAAGCATCAATAGGATCCGGATTTCCAACATTAATTCAGTCAAGTCAGTGCTTCTGTGTGATGGTTGAGAGACTTGACGCGTTACGAAAAGCATTTCCAACAAACTAAAGACATTCATCAACAGCCGCCAGCTACGCTCACTCATTGTTGAAGATCAGATAGATGGCTAGAAAAAATAAGCAACAAGGAACTCTGGCACGGCAACGAACCAACCGAGAAGCCATCGCCCAACAAATATGCAGAAGAAGGTGGAGATGGATTGGATTGGGCATAGTCTGAGAAGACCATTCGGGGGCATCACGTGTCAGGTCAGGCCGTCGAGTGGAACCCGCATGGGAAACGATGAGTTGGGTGTCCGAGACGAGGGTGACATGGAGGAGATCGTGTGAGGAAGAAGTGAAAGCATGTGGGGATTCGTGGGGCCTGGTTGAAAAGACTGCAGAGAAGAGAGTGAAATGGAGACTTGCTACTGAAACCTTATGTTCCACTAGGAACCTAAGGGGACAAAAAATAATATTACTACTTCAGTAATTTTCCCATGCTGACCTGAATTCACTATTTCATTTTACTGAAATGTTTTCAGATCAATATATGAGTTCTCCACTACTTGTCAATTTTTAGCGCCTAAGAGAATGATGAGGACTGAAAACCAAACATTTTCACAAAATTTATAGATGATTGTGGTTTCATGAGATCAAGGTTTCAAGTCCGTATTCATCATGGCATGATAACAGCTGGAAATTTAAGAGCACTGAACATCTGTTTCCACCTAGTGTCGGACTCCTCAACAGTGCACACCGATGACCCTCCTGGGAAGTTTGTTAATTGGTAGGTCGATATTTAGTTCTCCTCTGTACGGGATAAAAAGACTCCTTCTTCAGAACTTTATTTTCTTCGACTACTTCCACACTTACATGGTAAAACCACACTTTATCAGAAAGTTGTCTATTGTATTGCTTTTTTTCCAATACCACAGTTTAATACTTATTATCTACCATTCATGATCATTTTCCAGTTATTTACTTTCAGTTATTATATCCACCATTTTGAGAACTATTCAAAAATCGCTAAAACACTATAAGAATATGTTTTAATATAATGATGCAAGCTGGGACTATATTAGTTTATATTCTTATGATGATTCATTCAGACTCCGTGCTCAACTTCTTCCAGAACATCCGTAAAAACTACGGTGTGGATATTTATAATCTGTAAAATAAACGAAACATTCAGAGCTTTTTCAGAACGTCATCTGTAATCGGCCCTTTTAATTATCGTGATCAATGATCGCAGTGATATATATATATATATATATATATATATATATATATATATATATCGGAAGAAGAACCACTAATATCCTGGAAGCACTGGGCTGTTGTTTTGGCGTAGTATGGAACTCTTTAATAGTGCAAACTGATGACCCTGGTAGAGATCTTACAGTGGACCTTAAGATCTTGCCTAAAAGAAGATCGGTCCGGAGTTGTAAATTTCAGCTAGTTCTGTGTACTGAAAGTGATCTGTGGTGACTGGTTACTTCTGTCTGCGGATAATAACTGAAGTGGTAGTGCATTTTTATTATTACAAATAACAAATTTATTTTTATGTTGTAGATGGGAGATTGACTTTTCATCCTTCTTGATCCTGTGGTATCCAATGCTGTTGACTATTGGATGAAATTATACAGAACAACACTTAAGTAATTAATTCAAAACAGCACAAAACAAAGAAAACTATTCTCCAAGTGACAATTTACAGTTCAGGAGTTTTCATGAATTCTTTGTGTTCAGTATTTGGAACATTCTAATATCATGCAACCATCTATTGTAACTGAAATGTCACAAGGCCAGAAAATTTTTCTGTTTCCTTTAACAGTATTGATTTACAAGTAATTTCATGTGTTAGTAAAATACTTTGTTACTACACTGGTTGGTCTCTGCAGGGTAACCAACTTCATGTTGTCTAGTCCTAAGTGTTGAACGAATCCTATCGATCACTTTGGAGTGTGGTCACCATGTTAGTTGACCCAACATCGCGATGCACTTTGATAGATGTTAGTTGGATGGACGTAATCGACAGGAAGCACCGGACTTAAGTTTCATGCTTTTCGGCACTGGTCAGCAAGACGTACATAACTTCGACAAATAAGATACTCAACTAACACTCACTTTCAGTTGAAAGTAAATTCAAGCTCAAAAAGCTAAAACAAATTACTACATATCAAAATGATTGAGAACATTTTTATTCTGTGACAGTTTTCTAGTCAGTAAACCCATTGCTAACGAGAAGTTAACTACTTAAATAATTAATTTTAGTTAGTAAACATGAATAATAATTAATGTAGTAGTTCATAAATTTACTTGACTACTCTTAACCAGTCATTTCAAAATAGTAATTCTGATTCCATCAATACTTAATGCGAACCCATTGTAGTTAATGTTATCTTGGCTGTCACGGAATCAGCCATTTCATATGCTGCGTATTAATAATATAAGTCCAGCTGCCTTGCAAATGAAATTTCTGGTTTTATTCTACACTATCGAATAGAGTACTTAGTCTTTGTAATAAGAAGTATTCTTATTGAATATAAAGTTGATCTTTAATGATACGTTTTCGACTTTTTTGCTCACTGATTAATTATTCATAAAGCGATCATTTGGGCTGGGGAAAATAAGATTTGAATGGCGAGCAAAATATAGTTTTCGCAACTCTGTCTTGCTGATTATCTTGAGAATTAACCAAAAAATAATGCCTTATACCTTAAGGTATAATTATCGAGCCTATTTCTTGTAAGGACTGTAGTAATGTAAAGCAAAATTTGTTACAACTTGGGTATATTATTTGAAACTGTCCTTATCTATTGAAAAGTGTTGGAAACTAAGAAAATTTGAGCAGCTGAAGCCTTTCGATTCCTAAGACATTCACTGTAGAATGCTAACCTATACGATAGGTAATATATTTAAGTGGTGATGCCATTTTCAACTTGACTTCCAGTTATTTTGCTTAACTCGAAAATTAGATCCAACCAAAAAACAACGAAATATTGAAAACTGATAGTAAGGTTATAGATAACGTTGGTAATGATCCCTAGCTAGCTTTGCATCATTTGAAGTTTGCTGTTCATAGTAATATTATCTTGCAGAATAATTTACTCAAAAATACTTAAGAACAAAACTGGAATTTAAAAGTATGCCGAAATGTTTTACTGCATTTTGGACTTCAAAATCTTTTATTCTGGTAAATAAATAAGTAAATCCACCAAAGAATTAATGAATGCAAGTGAATAAGTCCGAAAAAAAGCCTAAACAAATTAATCAGTTATATGAACCCAAAAACACTTTTCCGCTAACAATCCAATGTCAAATAGCCTTAGCAATAATCCCAAAGTAATTTACAAGTTATTTATGACTGTAGTTCAGTTAATGTGGCTAACAGTTTTTACCCACATATTTTTATGAATTTTCCTTTGTGATGTTAAAAACA